GTCTCACCTCAAAACACACATAAAAAACATAAATTGAAAAGATATATGAGCCTGATTAACCTTACTGTTACAAATACCATTTGTGCATCATTAGCAAAGCTACTGTACTTGAAGCTCACTTTACCTGCTACCAACAAGGGTAGCTACCAACTTTGATTACTTTTAGTAATTTTCCAAAGTTATGCTTTACTTTAACATGTTTACAACAATCTTATCATTTTTACTGTTTTACATAGGAGTCATTTTGAGGACAATTACTCCACCTGGGTAATAAAATAAACAGGCACAGATCATACTTTGTTTAAAGCTTCAACTACAGGATTTATTCTGCAGGCTTCCCTATAAAGCAAAATACATTCTTCCTGAGAGCATTGTGGCATCTTTAGGGAATCCAGTTTGATAAAACTTCAAGTGTAATTAGATAAAAACTGCATCTGAACAAAAAATATTACTGGGGTGTCCATTTTTTAACTTGCTTTAAAACATGAACTGAACTGTAATCCCCATAATTTATGCACTGTTATCTCTTGACTTTTTAACTATTATTTTAATCCATATTTATGTCTTAAAACTACATTTTTAACCTTTCACAAAGACTATGTAGCATAAGTACCACACTGGGGTTTTTTTGGATCATCATAATTACTTAAAGCTGGTCTATGTTCAGCTTGCAAGTAACTAATCATGACTAAAAAACTAGTCATATTTTACAATTAAGAAAAAAAATTTGCTGATGTCTACTCAGGAAAAGGGGGATTTATAGTCAGGGTTGGGGGTTAGGATGTGATCGTTATTATGGTTACAGAGCTGTAGTGCGGTTTTGGGATTAGAGTTTGATGTGTTGTGTGATGGTGTTTACACACTGCAAAACTGTAATATCACCACAATGTGATTGGTCACTTGGACCGGCATCACTTTGATGATCCAGGAGCAACACCATCAAGAGGATACACATTGTGCTTCTTTTTGAGCAGCTTAACTAAACACAGACACACAACGAAGAGTGAAAACTACATTCCTTCATCTTATACAGTGTTTGAAAGAAGACAGCGATCACATGACTGTGGAATCTGCTTTATTGAGGAAAGGATCAGGAAGTGAAAATACAACAAACAGCTGACAGCTCAGAGTGTGGTTTCATCTTTACATCTTTACATCTGTGTGTGTGTGTGTGTGTGTGTGTGTGTGTG